TTTTGTAGAATAACCTTTGAATTACCTGATAAGCACTAAGTGTTTTAGAATTGCCGGATAGAAAGTTTACTATTCTAAAATAAATACAAATTTACCAACCATTTGGTCGGTAAAAAAATCCATTTGCTTTGTCTCACCTAGCAAATTAAATATCATCAGCAATTTATTCAGCTCAAATTTAATGAGTGGAAGAAGATTTACGTACAAGAACACTCAGGCCAGCTGGTTTTGGAAAAATATCTTTGTCTCTTTGGCTAGGTAGTGCTTGTGGGGAAAAAAATGTGAAAGTGTTAGTCGCTCAGTTGTGTCTGGCTCTTTGTGACCCCATGGGCTGTAGCCCACCAGGCTCCTCTGTCCATGGGATTCTTCAGGCAAGAAAACTGGAGTGGGTAGCCGTTCCATTCTCCAGAGGATCTTCCCTGCTCAGGGATTGAAGTCTGGTCTCCTGCATTGTAGGCAGATTCTTTACCGTCTGAGCCATAGCTAGTGCTTAGACCTTACAAATACAACTCTCTTGACAGAATGTCCATTTCATTATCTTATAAATGCTTTCCATTTGGTGGGATTTGTTCTTACTGGAGATTATAAATTCTGAGTGGGCCTAATGACGGGCAGTTTGTGTGATAACAGGAGTTCCAGCATAAGAGAGATGAGACATCAACAGCAGAAGGTTACTGGCAGTATTTCCACTGAGTTTGGGTCTACCTTGATTGCAAAGGCAGCTCCCCTTTTATTGGCACCCTTACTCAAGCTTCTCTGGATTCCTGATCACAAATTCTAAATGTTGATACACTTCCTGAGACCTAAGCATTGAGATTAGTCCATGAAGTTAAACTTTACATTGATAGAAGGAAGTTTTAAAAACTCCGTGAAACGTAACTCTTATAACCTTGTCCCTGGTTTTTACTTTCTGAACTGAGAGTACAGGTTGGTGGGGGTGGGGGCACAGAGGAGTCGAGCAGCCTACTAAGGTGGCTCAGTGGCAAAGAGTCCACCTGCCAAGCAGGAGTCGTAGGTTCGATCCCTGGGTTGAGGTGGTCCCCTGGAGAAGGAAGTGGCAACCCACTCCGGTACTCTTGCAGGGGAAGTCCCATGGACGGAGGAGCCTGCAGGGCTACAGTCCATGTGGTCACAAAGAGTCGGGCACGACTGAGCAGCTAAACAACAATACGAGTGTATGGTAGGGCCACAGTGCTCAGAGGGAGGCAGCAGTGAAAAGGGGTGGAGTAGGGAGGAATTGAGGTTTACGTGAAGGCTTTCCAGAAGAGGTGACACTCAGACTGAATTTTAAAGGTTGCGGAAGAATCCAGGCAAGAGGGAAAGGAAGTTTTAGGCAGAGGAATGGGCATCTAAAATGGCACAGAAATATGAAGACCCACTGGTTGAACTACAGGCACTTCAGCATGGCTTTGGCTCAGAGTAAGGGTAATTATAATGGTTGGAAGAGTGGACTAGGTCCAGATCCGCAATTTGGAATTTATCCATAGGTGGTATATGTTTAGCAATGTAGGCAGGCTTACAAACTTGGAGAGATCACCCTGAAAGTTTGTGGGAGGCAGGGCAAGACCAGAGGCAGGTAATCCACTTTGAGGGGCTTCCCAGATGGCCCTCGTGGTAAAGAACTCGCCTGCCAATGCTGTAGACATGAGAGATGCGGGTTTGATTCTCTGGGTCTGGAAGATGCTCTGGAGGAGGACATGGCAACCCACTCCAGTATTCTTGCCTGGAGAATCCCATGGACAGAGGAGCCTGGTAGGCTTACAGTCCATGCGGTCACAAAAGAGTCGGACACAACTTAGACTAAACAACAATCCACTTTGACAGCTCTTAGAATAGTTCTTACCTGAAGTCAGATATTAGACTAGGAGATGTCCTGGTGGGTGGGGATGGAGAGGAGATAGATTTGAAAGATATTCGGAAGGTAGAATTGACAGGGCTGAGGAAGTACAGGGTAAGGGCAAGACCAGAGGCAGGTAATCCACTTTGAGGGGCTTCCCAGATGGCCCTCGTGGTAAAGAACTCGCCTGCCAATGCTGTAGACATGAGAGACGCGGGTTTGATTCCCTGGGTCTGGAAGATGCTCTGGAGGAGGACATGGCAACCCACTCCAGTATTCTTGCCTGGAGAATCCCATGGACAGAGGAGCCTGGTGGGGTGCAGTCCATGGGTCACAAAAGAGTCGGACACAACTTAGACTAAACAACAATCCACTTTGACAGCTCTTAGAATAGTTCTGACCTGAAGTCAGATATTAGACTAAGAGATGTCCTGGTAGGTGGGGATGGAGAGGAGATAGATTTGAAAGATATTCGGAAGGTAGAATTGACAGGGCTGAGGAAGTACAGGGTGAGGTGCAGAGAAGACAAGGATGTCAAGGCATTTGGATGAATGGGGGTTCATAACGGAGTTAGAGAATAAGGAAGGAGGAACAGGTTTGGAGAAGAAAATGAGTTCCATTTGGGACAGTGACTTTGAGGTGCCTATGGCGCAGGAGACAGCTGGGAGGCGTTTGGAGTCTTCAAGTCTGTAGGCACTGGCTCGGGATGGTTGAGGCCGTGGAGGTCGGGGTTCTTGTTTCATCTTATGCATCTTTTCCTCAGCACGAATCACAGAGCTTTGTGTGTAGTGTGAGAGTGAGTCACTCATTTGTTCCAAGATGTGATCTTGAATCTTGGGGAAGTCATTTCCTCCCATGGCTTGTCTCTCTCTTTCTGTAGGTGGGGAAGTTGAACTAGATCAGTGGCTCTCAACCAAACTTTTGCTTTAGTCTGGTATGTTGGGATTAATTGTGAGGAATGGCAGTCATTTTTAATTAATAATTAAGAGCTGATGTTTGCTTGCCTTTTAAATGAGAGTTGATTTGTTACTCTTTAAATAACAAACAATATTTTACTAAAACATAAGATTTACCAAAATTTCCAGACAAACCATACAAAATGGTCACAAGCTTTTTCTTAAAGGGAGAATTCTTCACTTGACAGCTAACACTGTGTTATTGGTGAGTTTGCTTAATGTTCCCATTTTGGTTCAATCACGCTTGTCCAGCTATAGTGTCTAAATAAAGTTAGACTTGATTAGAGACCATATTCTGAAGAACTGATTACTTGCTTTTAACCAGTGCAATTAGATCACCATAAAAGGGGGGAAAGGAGCCCATAAAATTAAAATAAAACTATCTTTCCCTCACCAAAAAAAGAGAGAAAAACAGTCACACCCCTGCAACTAATCCTGACAACTACCTTCATTCACAGTGGTGGTGGTTCACTCACCACGTGGTGTTTGACTCTTCCGACCCTGTGGACTGTGGTCTCCCAGGCTCCTCTGTCCATGGGACTGCAGGCAGGAATGCTGGAGTGGGTTGCTATTCCCTTCTCCAGGTGCTTTATACTTAAACCATGACGAGGAAAATGAATAAAAGCAGAAAGAAGCTATTGCTTTTACACATTTCACCGCAATCCAAATGATACTTCTAGCCTCTGCTCATGCTGATTTATAACAGTGAATGAGGACAAGACATAGATAGATCTGCTCATGTGCATTTAATCAGCAAAGGACTGACAGCATCTGGGCTTTAATTCTGCAATGTTTCTAAGACTGTATCCATTAAATGCAAACGCAAAAGGAAGAAGTCTTGGCAGAACAGGGGAAGCGATGCATACTTGGTGACTGATGAATTTAAGTATTATCTGTGGCATATAGCCTCACCCATGCTTCACCTGTTTCTATGGCTTGGGCTTCGTTGGTCTTCCACTGCTCGGCTACATAATTTGTTAATGGATCATCTGGACTGGGAGCACTTAACAGAGTCTGGATGGATAGCAGAACTATCCACATCTGCAGTGCCGGAGTCTACTTGTCTTTCAAAATATCTAAACATTCTTCCCAACTTGTCTACATTAGGATGATAAATTCTGGTCATGAAACATACTTTGGGGGCTGCCATTGGGTATTCTTCTGAAGGGATGGTTCAGGTTTAAAAGTCCCTCTATCCCTATACTGAATGGTGGTTAAAGATTTAAGACTGCAAAATTTTATGTTTACGTGGTGTTTGACTCTTCCGACCCTGTGGACTGTGGTCTCCCAGGCTCCTCTGTCCATGGGACTGCAGGCAGGAATGCTGGAGTGGGTTGCTATTTCCTTCTCCAGGTGCTTTATACTTAAACCATGATGAGGAAAATGAATAAAAGCAGAAAGAAGCTATTGCTTTTACACATTTCACCGCAATCCAAATGATACTTCTAGCCTCTGCTCATGCTGATTTACAACAGTGAATGAGGACAAGACATAGATAGATCTGCTCATGTGCATTTAATCAGCAAAGGACTGACGGTGTCTGGGCTTTTATTCTGCAATGTTTCTAAGACTGTATCCATTAAATGCAAACACAAAAGGAAGAAGTCCTGGCAGAACAGGGGAAGCGATGCATACTTGGTGACTGATGAATTCAAGTATTATCTGTGGCATATAGCCTCGCCCATGCTTCAGCTGTTTCTATGGCTTGGGCTTCGTTGGTCTTCCACTGCTCGGCTACATCATTTGTTAATGGATCATCTGTACTGGGAGCACTTAACAGAGTCTGGATGGATAGCAGAACTATCCACATCTGCAGTGCCGGGGTCTACTTGTCTTTCAAAATATCTAAACATTCTTCCCAACTTGTCTACATTAGGATGATAAATTCTGGTCATGAAACATACTTTGGGGGCTGCCATTGGGTATTCTTCTGAAGGGATGGTTCAGGTTTAAAAGTCCCTCTATCCCTATACTGAATGGTGGTTAAAGATTTAAGACTGCAAAATTTTATGTTTTTATCTGGGATCTATCATTCTGATTATAAATTTTTTTGTCTCTGTAATGTCTTCTTATTGAAGTATAGTTGAACGACAGTTAATTACTGTTGTGCAGCAAAGTGACTCAGTTATACATACATACGTTCCTTTTGTATTCTCTTCCATTATGGTTTGTCACAGGATATTAATTTTTTATTTTTGCAACTTCAGGAACTCTATTTTCAGAACCTCTCAAAAAGAAAACCAGTCATGGAGAAGAAAGAGAATAACCGAAAGCTTCGGGTTTGTGTTGCTACTTGCAACCGTGCTGATTATTCCAAACTTGCCCCCATCATGTTTGGCATTAAAATGGAACCTGAGTTCTTTGAACTTGACGTGGTGGTACTTGGCTCTCACCTGATAGATGACTATGGGTAAGATGAAAGCATTTTCTTATGATATTCTTCATTGCAACATGGTGTACTACAGAGAACTTGGGTCCTGGGGCCATGTGAGCCCAGCTTCAAATGCCAGTTCTACCACTTAGTTTTTAGGTGGCCTTGGAGACGCTGCCTAGCACTTCTGAGCTTCAGGTTCCTCAGTTATAAAACGGAGTGGAAACTTGTATTGCAGGTTATTGTGAAGAATGGAGATAGTGACATAAAGTGTCTATACAGGGACGCTGCCTATTAGATGCTTGGTAAATTACAGCCATTATTATTATTACTACTGTTATTTGCTACTACATTCAGAAATGCCATTTATAAATGTATATTGTGTGACTATAATGATATTCTATACAACTTATTTTGTGAGTTCTAATGCTAATCGTACATGAAAAAACTGTGTATAAAGTAGTAGATTCTGAACAAGATTTTAAAAATCGAATCTATAAGATAAAGTAGAATTACCATTACCACTGATACTTATTTTGATGACATTAGGTTTGTTATTGATCACAGTCTAAATATGAAAGATGAAACGGGAACTCTGAGGGAGCAGAAAGAGTGTCTGTACCAAAGATGAGCATGCATTGTTATGTGTTAATAATAGAGTGGCTCTAGTGCACCCTTGTGGCATGAAAACAGTGATGCAGCCTCTGAAGAAGGTAAAAAAAATACCATATGGAAGAAGCTTGTGTTAAGGTAAAACTGTCTTTTTCAGACTGTCCTTTAACAATAAGATGATAATAACAGCAAAAACAAAAACTGCTTCCAAAAACAAATTTGGCAATTTGCGATAAGAAAACACTTTTAAAGACTAGAGCAGAAACTTATGGATAGCTTAAAAGTTCATAGGTTTTTAAAATGTGCAATGAGTTTTGGCTATCGAAGAAAACCCGCTTGAGTGTTCTTACATTATTGAACAGAAACTGGACAAAGTAAAAGAGGAGTTTCTGTTACAACCTGAGGTAGAAATCTAAGCGTGTTCTTTTACTTCTTTGAGAGAAGTTTGGCAGAAGACTGGTAGGGGAGAGGCTTTCAAAGAGATGGGGGCAGGTTTCTTACCTGCCTGCCATAGTAATTAAGGGGGAAGGTAGTGTTTGTCAGGCGAGGCTGTTAAAACGGAAGCTTGACTGGTACTTACTGGAAATATTTGTCTGTAGTGCATTCTTGCACAAGAAATTGGTTGCTTATGGGGAGAAGCATTGGATGGCTGGAAAACAAAAGTGGGAAGTAGCCTTTTCACTGTATAGCTTTTGTATCCTGAGTTTTAAACCATGTGGTTGTATTGTTTAAGAAGATGTTAGGGCTCCCCTGGTGGCTCAGTGGTAAAGAATTCACCTGCCAGTGCAGGAGATGTGGGTTTGATCCCTGGTCAGGGGAGATCCCACGTGCCGTGGAGCAGCTAAGCTCTTGTGCCACAACGATTGAGCCTGTGCTTAGAGCCAGGGGACTGCAACTGCTGAAGCCCAAGTGCCCCAGAGCCCCTGCTCCACGGCAAGAGAGGCCACCAGTGAGCGAAGCCTGGGCACTGCGGCTGGAGAACGGCCCACGCAGCAACGCAGACCCAGCCCAGCCAAAAACAATACACAGATAAAAACCGCAGGAAAGAAAGAAGACGCTCAGTCAACAGAAGCAGTTAGCTACCTTTCTACCTCAACTAGTTGGATATTTTTTTAAAACATCATTTTTATACTCTTAAGAATTGGGCAAAAAAATTCAAATGAATAACAGACTCCTTAAGAATTCATTGGTTCATTTATTCAGCACATTTTTTTTCAGATTGGTATTACAGGTTTTTTTGTTTTTTGAAGTATAGTTGATTACAATGTTGTGCTAACGTCTGCTATGTAGCAAAGTGACTCAGTTATATGCACATATACATTCTTTTTTGTATTCTTTTCCATTATGGTTTATCCCAGGAAATTGGATATCGTTCCCTGTGCTATATGTACAGTAGAATCTTGTTGTTTATCCATTCTAAACATAATAGTTTGCATTTACTAACCTCACCCTCCCAGTCCATCCCTCTTCCTTCTCTGATCGCCCTGGCAACCACAAGTCTATTCTGGGTGTCTGTGAGTCTCGTTTTTGTAGATAGGTTCATTTGTGCCAAATTTCATTTCATATATTAATTTGGCCACACAGCGTGGGCTTGTGGGATCTTAGTTCCCCGACGAGGGATTGAACCCTGACCCTCAGCAGTGAAAGCACCAAACCACTGGGCTGCCCAGAAGTTCCCTGAATTACCTATTTCTTCTTGATTCAGTTTTGGTGGGCTGTATATTTTGTATGTCTCTAGAAAGTTGCCCATTTCTTTTGAGTTGTCAAATTTGTTGGCATATAATTGTTCATAGTATTCTCTTAGGGGTTTTTGTATTTCATGGTAGCAGTTGAAATTTCTCCTTTTATATTTCTAATTTTTTAAAAATTTGAGTTCCTGTCTTTCTTTTTGGTGAGCCTGGCTAAAGGTTTGTCAGTTTTATTTACCCTTTCAAAGAATCAGCTCTTGGTTTTACTGATTTTTTTTTCAATTGTTTTTTTAAATCTCTATTTTATTTCCTCTCTGATATAAATTTATATTTTATTTCCTTCATCCTGCTGACTTTAGGTTTTGTTTGTTCTTTTTCTAATTATTTTAGGTGGTAGGTTAGGTTGTTTATTTGAGATTTTTCTTATTTTTTTGAGGAATATCTGTATTGCTATGAACTTCCCTCTAAGAACTACTTTTGCTGCATCCCATAGGTTTTTGTATAGTTGTATTTTCCTTGTCATTTGTCTCAAGGTATTTTTAAATTCTGTTTTGATTTTCTCACTTACCACCCCCCAACCCCCTTATTTTAGTAGCATGTTGTTTAATATCCATGAAATCATTTTTTTCCTTTTTTTTCTTGTAATTTATTTCTAGTTTTGTGCTCTATTGCAAAGGGATTCTGATTATGGTTACTGATTCAGATGGTTAGGTATGAACATTCTGTAGGTAGGACAGTCTCAGAATTAAAGCTGTGTTGCAATCTTAGAAGACATACCTGCCAGAGGCTTCCAAATTTGGTAAAACAAACAAACAAACCAGAAAAACCCAACATTGATGTACATATACAGAAAGGTCAACAACCCTTAATAGATAAATACAAAAAAACTACATGTAGACATAGCATAGTCAATTTGTTGAAGACAAGAAAATCTTGAAAGCAGCAAGACCACAGATTGCATTTCTTGCAGGGGAACTAATGCTGAGAATAATTAACTCACTGACAGTGGAGGCCAGAAGACAGTGGGGCGTCTTTAATGTGCTCGGAAAAGGGGAAGAACCTCTGCTGGCCCAGAATCGTTCATCCAGTGAAAGTACCTTTTAAAAATAAAGTTGAAGCAAAGATATTTTCAAAGAAAAGCTAAGCAAGTTATCACCAGCAGGTATGTGCTGCTAAAAATGCTGAGGCAGATTCTTGAAAACCGAAGAGAAATGATACCTGTTGGGAACTTACATCTACAGGAAGGAGTAACTACAAATGCACATATATAAAAGAAAGAATGCCTTTAAAAAATAGATTTTAGTTTTTAGAATAGTGTTAAGTCCTGCAGCAAAATTGAGCAGAAGGTGCAGAAGTTCCCCGTATACCTCTCTTCCTCTATACGTGCATAACATCCCCCACTATCGGCATCCCCTACCATACCTCATTGGTGCGTACTGTTCAAACGATGCACCTCCACTGACACCTCATTATCACTCAAAGTCATAGTTTAATTGGTTTCAACTTAGTGGTGTAAGTTCTATGGATTTGGACAAATGAATATTGACATCTATCTACCGTTATAGTATCACAGAGTCATTTCACTGTTTAGTTCAGTCAGTCAGTCGTGTCCAACTCTTTGTGATCCCGTGGACTGCAGTACGCCAGACCTCCTTGTCCATCACCAGCTCCCAGAGTTTACTCAAACTCAAGTCCATTGAGTTGGTGATGCCTTCCAACCATCTCATCCTCTGTCATCCCCTTCTCCTCCCGCCTTCAATCTTTCCCAGCGTCAGGGTCGTTTCAAATGAGTCAGCTCTTCGCATCAGATGGCCAGAGTATTGCAGTTTCAGCTTCAGCATCTGTCCTTCCAGTGAATATTCAGGACTGATCTCCTTTAGGATGGACTGGTTGGATCTCCTTGCAGTCCAAGGGACTCTCAAGAGTCTTCTCCAACACCACAGTTCAAAAGCATCAATTCTTCAGCACTCATTTCACTGTTCACTGTCTCCCAAATCTTCTCCTCTACCCATTCATCCCTTCCTCTCCCCCCAACCCATTTCCTGGCAGTCACTGATCTTTTTACCATTTCCATAGATTTTTTTGCCTTTTCCAGAATGTCATATTGTTGGAATATCCTATATTATGTAGCCTCTTCTTTCATTTAGTAATATACTTTTGAATTTCCTTTATGTATTTTCTTAGCTTGATAGTTATTTCTTTTCAGTGCTGAATAATATTGCATTGTGTGGATGTATGATAGTTTATTTCTGCATTCTCTTACTGAAGGATATTTTGATTGCTTCCAAGTATTGGCAATTATGAATAAAGCAGATTTTTGTAGATTTTTGTGTAATGTAAGTTTTCAGCTCCTTTAGGTAGATCAAGGAGCATGATTGCTCCTTGTAAAAAAGTATGTTTAGTTTTGCAAGAAACTGACAAACTGTCTTCCAAAATGGCTGTATCATTTTGTATTCCCCCAACAATAAATGAGAATTCCTGTTGCTCCATATCATTGCCAGAATTTAGTGTTGTCAGTGTTCTGGATTTTGTCCATTCTAATAGGTGTGTAGCAGTATCTCTTTAATTTGCATTTCCTTGATGACATGTGATGTGGAGCATCTTTTCATATGCTTATTTGCCATCTTTATATCATCTTTGGTTTAACCCATTTTTAAATTGGGTTGTTTATTGTTGAGTTTTAAGCTCAGGGGCCAAACAAGAAATCCTAAGGGAAATTAGAAAGTATTTTGACCTAAATAAATATTACAGTGTCTCAGAATTTGTGGTTATAGATTAATCAGGGCTTGTGGGGAAATTTATCATTTTAAATATTAATACTTATGTGAAAAAAAGAGGTTAGAGTCAAGGATCCATTTCCACTTTAATAAACAGAAAGAAAATGAAGCCCAAAGTAAGTAGAAGGGAGGATCAAGGACCAATAGAGTCAAAATCAATGAAATGTAAAAGTAGACTAAACAATAAAGAAAGTTAATTGAGCTAAAAGTTATTTGTTTAAAATAATAAAATCAACAAGCTTCTGCAGAACAGGGAAGGGGTAACAGAAGTCACCAGCACAGGATAACACAGAGGACCTCACTGCTGATCTCGGCCATCCGAAGAGTAGAAGGAGGCTGTCAGGCCAGTAAATCAACCATCAGTTTAGATGAAATGGACAAGCTTTTGAAAAATACAGCTTACAGCATTGTTTTCTACAGAAAAGATAGAAAATCTCAATAGCTCTATATTAAGGAAATTTGGTTCATTACCAAACCCTATAAAAATAACTTCCTACAGAGATACCTTCACTTTTGAATCCTATCAAACATTTAAGATCCCATTAAATTCCTATGGGAATTCTCAGAGGATTTTCTTTATTTACAGTGTCATAGCTTTTGTAGGAAAATCCAAAGAAATCTATAAAATGACTGCTAAACCATTTATATGATGTATGTAAAAAATCCTTCATAATCTGAGAAAATATCATAGTGTTAAATGGGTTAAGTAGATTACAAAATTGTACTGTGATGTATTCTCAATCATGTTAAAATATTATGGGAAAAAATGATGTATAAAGTGGTTAGAAAGAGGGACTTCCCTGGTGGTGCGGCGGTTAAGACTCCATGCTCCCATGTAGGGGGTGCGGGTTGGATTCCTGGTCAGGGACCAAGATCCCACATGCCACGTGGTATGGGAAAAAAAAAAAAAAAACAACAAAGAAATCATGGTAATACTGATGGTGCTTAGTGGTAGGTTTATGCATGATGATTTTCTGTATTTTTCTAATTTTTAAGTAATGTTTTATATATTTCCAGAAAAAAAGTCAGATCTTTTAAAATCTAGTCATAACAAACAGGAAACTTTAAAGCATTGAGAATTGCTATTGCTGTTGAAGCATGAAACAGACTTGAAACTGCATTTTACAGCCAATTTAAGCCCACATTTTCACCCCAGTCAGAAATATGCTGCATGAATGGTACCATACGAAGAGAATTCAGGAGATAATTCCCATCATTCAGAAATTTATAATATAGTACCATATCAGGTATCCCGGTTCCATAGTACTTTTTAGGAGCATTTATAAGTAACATTTTTTCTGTTAAGTAGCATGATTTCTTTTAAAAAATTTATATATATTTTTCAGTTCAGTTTAGTTGTTCAGTTGTGTCCGACTGCAACACCATGGACTGCAGCACGCCAGGCCTCCCTGTCCATTGCCAGCTCCTGGAGTTTACTATGAGTAAAATGTCTCATGAGTAAACTCATAAGTCTACTCTTGAGTTTACTCATGTCCGTTGAGTCGGTGTTGCCATCCAACCATCTCATCCTTTGTCATCCCCCTCTCCTCCTGCCCCCAATCTTTCCCAGCATCAGGGTCTTTTCTAATGCATCTGTTCTTCGCATCAGATGGCCAAAGTATTGGAGCTTCAGTTCCAATGAATATTCAGGACTGATTTCCTTTAGGATGGACTGGTTGGATCTCCTTGCGGTCCAAGGGACTCTCAAGAGTCTTCTCCAACACCACAGTTCAAAAGCATCGATTCTTGGGTGCTCAGCTTTCTTTACAGTCCAACTCTCACATCCATATATGACTACTGGAAAAACCATAGCTTTGACTAGACGGACCTTTGTTGGCATATAATATTTTTAAAAGGAAAGAAAAAGTTGTGATCACTGTAAAATTTAGTATCTTTTTTCCTAATAAAAAATTCTCCCTCCAAAGTTCTCCCTCCAGGTGCTCACTGAAGCAGGGCACAGGTGAGACCTGCAAGGTGTGGGAGGTGTTGATCTAGGTGGTGACTACAGGGGTGTTTGTGTAGAAAAAGTAATCAAGTGATCTGTATATTTATAGCCTATGCTTTTAATTTTTGTGTGTAAGTTATACTTCAGTTTATTTTAACAAGGAAATTTTGTGAAATATTTCTCCCTTCAGAGTTAATGTTGATGTTTTTATAGCCCTATATTGAAGAACATGCTCTCACATTTTTATTTCTCCCTGCTTTAGAAACACGTATCGCATGATTGAACAAGATGACTTTGACATTAACACCAGGTTACACACGATTGTCAGAGGGGAAGATGAGGCAGCCATGGTGGAGTCCGTAGGCCTGGCCCTTGTGAAGCTACCAGATGTCCTGAATCGCCTGAAGCCTGACATCATGATTGTCCATGGAGACAGGTTTGATGCCCTGGCGCTGGCTACCTCTGCTGCCCTGATGAATATCCGGATCCTTCACATTGAAGGGGGGGAGGTCAGTGGGACCATTGACGACTCCATCAGACACGCCATAACGAAGCTGGCTCATTATCACGTGTGCTGCACCCGAAGCGCAGAGCAGCACCTGATATCCATGTGTGAGGACCACGACCGCATCCTGCTGGCAGGCTGCCCCTCCTACGACAAGCTGCTCTCCGCCAAGAACAAGGACTACATGAGCATCATTCGGATGTGGCTAGGTATGTCTCAGACTTTATTCAGTCTAGTAGTTGCTTTTATCCCAAAGTTTGGTCATGTTTCAGTCTTTTTGGTAACTGTTGTATATAGAAGGTACCATTAGCAGCCGGAAGGCTAAAATTTTAGTTCATGAATCTTTCCCTGTGGTATGACTTCACCTCTCTGAGACTCATCTTTTCTAAAAGGTAGGCTTAATGGACTGAATTTCTAAAATCTATGCTATTTTTATATAACAGAATGATTTTCATCTGTTAAATACAACGTTACAGGTGAATATTTAGTTACAGGGACAGATCCTGACATATCAAAAAGGGAAAAAAAGGAACCTACAAATTGTATAATGCGATGCTATTTTATAAAAAACAATAGCATAATAGAAAAGTTGATAAGTATGTACACCAAATCATTTATAATATTTACTTCTGGTTAGTAGAATTATAGGTATCTTTTTCCTTTGTTTTTTTAGCACAATGAAAAAAATTAATTTAATGCCTTTCTTATGGACTTGTTAAAATACTCAGATGAGATAATGTTGAAAGCAGTAAGCCATAAGTACTTATAAGGGATTATGATTATTGTTAAAAAGCAGAAGTCATAGTTGTGCAATTAGAGTTTGTTAGCCCTGTAAATAAGCCTTAAGGAAGGTTGTTCATTTATCTTCATATCAATGATCTAGATTCCTGGAAGTTACTTTTTGCTAATCAGAGGCAAAGAAAAAAGATTTGCAAACAATGTCAGTTGGTTAATTTATAATGAGAGTGCTATCTTGAGGATAAATCAGAACTAATTGTCTGTTTAGGTATTTAGGACTCTCTGTGAAAAGGTAGATCAGTTGAATAATGAAGTTAATGAATAGTAAATTAATCTAGTGTTTGTATAATTTAAGATTTTAAATCCAGATCACATTAGAACAGGAGAGAAACTGAATTTTTTTTACTCTATAGTTTAGCCCATTCTGTGTATTTCTTACCCCTGGACGGATTTGTAGCTGTCAGGGAACCTGTCGAGATAATGCTAATGTAACAGACTTCCGTCTCTCAGTCTCCCCTTCCTTCATGCTTCTAAGTAAGCATTCCTGCACTCTGTTCTGGTTATACTGTTAGCTTTGTATGTCTTCTGAAAAACTTGTAATGAATAAAAATAACCCTTATAAAGCAGAATACAACAAATTTGTACTTGCAGGGCTTCAGGTTCTATTTGGAACCATTTAAGCAGTTTCTCTGTGAAAAGAAGAATGACAAAATAGTAAAAACTGGATTTTTTTTTTTAAGCCAGTGGGGGAAAATAAGACATTTTCTGGAAAGCTTTTACTTGCTTCTGACCTAAAATTTCTGATGTTATCCTTCTCCTTATAGGAAAAATAGCATTGGGTAAGCCATTCAAACATGCAGCTTTGTAACCAGAATATTAATAAATAACAGTCCTAATAAAAAATATTAGCAAAGTTAAAAAGATATGTTAACATTTCTAATAATCAAAGAAATACCATAGTAAATATAGAACTTTTGACACAAAACCAAATAATGGTAGCATAATGGAAAGGCTTTAAATGTGTGGAAGGACTGAAGCTGCTGAGTTCTGGAGACAAAGGCAGATAATGTCAAAGTCATACATCACATCGAGGAACCAGTGTGGGATTTGCACAGAATATGTTATTACTAGGGATGGGTAGCTCCAGCCCATTGTCCTGTGTTTTCTTTTTCATTTTTTTTTTAAGATGTCTAATTTTTGCTCTTCTGTTTTCCCTTTTTAATGAAGAAACTGCTTAAATGGCTCCATATAGAGCNGAGACAAAGGCAGATAATGTCAAAGTCATACATCACATCGAGGAACCAGTGTGGGATTTGCACAGAATATGTTATTACTAGGGATGGGTAGCTCCAGCCCATTGTCCTGTGTTTTCTTTTTCATTTTTTTTTTAAGATGTCTAATTTTTGCTCTTCTGTTTTCCCTTTTTAATGAAGAAACTGCTTAAATGGCTCCATATAGAGCCTTAAGTTACAAAGTGCAGTCCTGCTGCATTCTGCATTATAGGGTTATTTTCTGTATACTACAAATATTTCTCAATCACACTTAAAGTAGAAGATAAATGAGGTGTGGAAAGCTCTCACGGGGTAAACTGTCGGAATTTTTCTTCCTCTTCACCTTCCACTCGCCCCTTAGCAGTACATTGTGTAGAATGATCCTCTGCGTGGGACCACAAAAGCTCTGTTCATCCCCACTCTCAAAGAAAAATTGCCACCAAAAAAGAAAGGCACAAAGATCAAAGAGACTTACCCAATAAGTGTTCTCAAGGCAGAGAACATGGGCAGACTGAACTCCAGGAAAGAGCGTGGGGTGAGGGGCCTGGTGACAAATACACTATTTCACCACAGCTTGTCTACATTTGCTTTAAGGCTCTTAGCAGTCAGTCTTGGGGAATCATGAATGAATAACTCAGCTACTGCATTAAAGGTTGACATCATTCCTCTGTTACTGGTCACAGATGAGCTGATTCACATGGTAGAAGTAACACGTCATAGTGGGGCCCACTTGTGCCTGTGGCCAGATTGCAGCACACACGTTTCTGTATCTGTTACAGCAGACACCTCTTTTGTTGGTTTCCTTCTCCCCAAGTTTTTAATTCTCTTTGAACTAGTTTCTTTCTAATGGCCTTGCTCTATATCTAATAGATTACCTGAATTTGTGTTGATGGCATCTTTGTTTTTGATAGAGTCTTTTAGGTCTTTAGACCTTTTTTCTGCTTTGTACCAAAATGTAATGATGATATCCCCATGCCACCCCCAGTTTAGAACATGATGGGTCCAATAATTTTTTTAAATAAAATTTTGGAGCCTGTGGTCTTTTGAATAATACTGAAGATTCTTAGTAACAGCTCTCTTACTATTACATCATAAAAAATAACTGCTACTGGTTGAATTTGGATTAATGATAAACATAGTTCACGATAAAGTTGTTCATTAAAATTAGTATCACAAAGAAATTTATTCGTTCATTAAAACTTAGTGAGTAGGAGCTTCCCTGGTGGCTTAATGGTAAAGAATCGGCCTGCCAGTGCAGGAGAAACAGGTTTGATCTCAGGTCCAGGAAGATCCCACGTGCCACGGAGCAGCTCAGCCTCTACACCACAGCTACTGAGCTCGTGCTCACGAGCCCGGGAGCCGCGGTTACCGAGAGCCGAGTGCCCTAGAGCGCATGCTCACTGGCCCGGGAGCTGCGTTACTGAGAGCCGAGTGCCCTAGAGCGCGTGCTCCGCAGCAGGAGAAGCCCGAGCACCACAAGGAAGAGGAGCCGCCGCCCACTGCAACTAGAGGAAGCCCGCGTGAAGCGACAGCAGTCGCGGCCCAGCGCAGCAAAAATAAATAATTTTTTAAAATTAGCAAGTAGAACTCATCTCCAGTTCTATGGGATAACATAGGCGCTGTTGCAAAATGGTTTGTTATTTGACATAGCAGTCTTCATCCAAATTTTACATTTTACATTTTTGCTGAGGAACTGCCCTTGAGAGCCCTGGGGTTGAGTTAAGCCTTCTGGTCTTTTGAACAGAGTTAGAAACACTGGCATTCTGTTGAAGCTGGTAAGTGAGAGTGGGGAAGCTCTTGTGCATTATATGAAATTTATTTAATGCTCAACCAGTCTCTGAACCCTCTGATTTGCAACACATTATTACTCATTGATGATAAGTCATTAGAAACACCAGTTACAAACTGGAAAGAGTCGCATTTTTCTAACACTTTGAAATATTTTGGATTTTCAAACAGTGAAGTCTAGCGTCTGCTGTTTAAAGTTCTGTATTTTGTTTGTGGTAGCAAGCACCTTTGTAGAATGGTAAAAGTTCGCTGAGAACCCTTGGACTTGTTGGTGAAAGTCCTTATTGTTAGATCTAATCTACGTGCCCTGTTTAGACTGTGACAGACTGTTTTTTCCTTAAAATTTTTAAAAGCATAGACTTCGGGGTCTTGCTTTTCAGAATTTGCTCCTTCCTCCTGTAAGATTCTTAAGTACTGAAGCCATGTGATTTGATTTTCTTTAAACAGGTGATGATGTAAAACCTAAAGATTACATCGTTGCTCTCCAGCACCCTGTGACCACTGACATTAAGCATTCCATAAAAATGTTTGAATTAACATTGGATGCACTTACCTCATTTAACAAGCGGACCCTAGTTCTGTTTCCTAATATTGATGCAGGTAATTGAACTTGAAAATGAAAGTATGCCACCTACCTTTCCAGGTTTTGTTTCTATCATGTCTTCTTCTGACTGACATTCCGTCCTGCTCATCTTATCATTGAAGGCCATTCTATTCTGAAATGTATTCTGATTTTCAAAGGGTCACCAATTTTTCAGTAGATTGAAGAGTTTGTGATATTATTGTCAAGTCTAGTAGAAACTTAATAGGAAAGAAATACTTCTAAATCTCTACTCTGTATTTTCATGTTTAGTCTCTTCCCTCCAGAGTTTGTGATATTATTGTCAAATCTAGTAGAAACTTAATAGGAAAGAAATACTTCTAAATCTCCACTCTGTATTTTCATGTTTAGTTTCTTCCCTCCAGTTTCCATCCATGAGAAAATGCAATAGCCAAGAGATATAAACCTTAGAAGTTAAATGTCTCTAGAAAAGTAGTGATCCCACTGACCACAGTAGAATAGCCATTATTGTTATTTCTTGTGAAAACTTTTCATTTATCTTGTAAACCATTTAACATTTGGTTCTTTTCACAGGGAGCAAAGAGATGGTTCGAGTGATGCGGAAGAAGGGCATTGAGCATCATCCCAATTTTCGTGCAGTTAAACATGTCCCATTTGACCAGTTTATACAGCTGGTTGCCCATGCTGGTTGTATGATTGGGAACAGCAGCTGTGGGGTACGAGAAGTTGGAGCTTTTGGAACACCTGTCATCAACTTAGGAACACGTCAGATTGGAAGAGAAACAGGTATTTACCTTTATCTTTCGACTGACTAGGCTTACTTTGTTTGTTTGCATTATTACAGGTATGCATGTGTCAGTGCTGCCATACATGTTTATGAATAAATGAGTAAATGAGGTTAATGACCAACTGTAGCCTGAAAGCTGTAGATAGTACACATATTACCAAAGTTTTTAGGGCTCTACTTGTATTTTTATTGTCTTTGTAATAGCAGAGCTAAAAGTTTCTTAGTTAATTATGGTCTTTGATAGTTGTGTTTAAGAATGTGTTTAAATGTTTAAGTATATGAATGCTAGCCTTTCATCTTCCTGGGCCCAGTAAAATGAAGGGAATCAACAATACCCTCACACTTTTGGTTTGAGCAGTGGGGGCTCTCTTTCCTGATGCGGAGGACCCTGAAGAAGGAGCAGTTTGGGAGCGGGTAGGATTAAGAGTTCTCTGCGCTGCGCTTAGTCATGTCTTTTTGCGACCCCATGGCCTGTAGCCCTCCAGGCTCCTCTGTCCATGGGGATTCTCCAAGAATACTGGAGTGGGTTGCCATGCCCTCCTCCAGGGGATCTTCCCAACCCAGCTCTCTTGCACTGCAGGCGGATTCTTTACTGTCTGAGCCGCCAGGGAAGCCCAAGAATACTGGAGTGGGTAGCCTATTCCTTCTCCAGGGGAACTCCCTGACCCAGGAATTGAACCAGGATCTCCTGCATTACAGGCGGATTCTTTACCAGCTAAACCACCAGGCAAGCCCAAGAGTTCTCTGATGGCCATGTTAAGTCTGAAATGCCCTTTAGATATGGGAGTGGAGATGGCAGGCTATCAGCTATATTGTTCCAGGAAAAGCTGAAGTTGAAGATACAAATTTGAGAATGATTGGCAAATGGGTGGTGTTAGGATATTGGTTCAGCTGCTGTAACAGACACAAGAAAATAGTGCCTCAAAAAGATTTTCTTTGTTTCTCACTGGTAAGTCACCAGAGACTTAGCTTCCATCTATCTTCTTTTTTTTTTTTTCCTGTCTGTCTGCTTGATGGTTGCTCCAGCTCTTGCTGTCACTTGACACTTTGGCACATTTTAGCCATTGGGAAAGGAGGAGAGGGGAAGATACCCTTCCCTCTAAAAGCACAACTTGGAAGTTGCAAGTATTTCTTCTTACATCCTATAGAATGTTGTCACGTGGCCATATCCAAGGGAAGCTGAAAAATATGTATAATCTTTAGCTGGGTGATCAGATGGCAAACTAAAAATTCTGCTACTGGTACAAAGGATACTGAGGATAATGGCACACTCTGCCAGGAATGGTACTGACATTTAAAACCAAGGGATGAAATGAGATTACCCAGGGGGGGGACATGTAAACAGGGAAGAGAATGGAGCCCAGGACCAACCTCTGGAGTCTTTCTGATGAGGAGGGAAGAGCCAGGAGGAGAGACTGAAAAGGAGCTGCCAGAAGATCAGGAGTGTAATATCATTAAAGCCCAGAAAATAAAGGGTCTGAAGGAGATGAGATTGAATGATCCGAGAGCTCAAACAAGACGTGAACAGAGAAGTGAACCCTGGATTTGGCACCAGGGTCGTCCGGCAAAAGCAGTGTGTCCTTTCTGCCACCACACTCACACAAACACATGCTCTCCATCCTTTCCTTCTTCCCTTCTTTACATTGGAGGGTGTGGGGTATGGGGTCACCCCTGCCTGTCCACTGCTCAGCCTTCTGTGTTCTAAATCCCAACCCTCCTGCCTTCTCAAGGACTATCAGTCATCCTTTCTCTTCCATGTATCTTTAGCTTCCTTAGCATTTAAACATTCCTAGGCCTCTGGTGTCTTAAAACTACAAAACAACCCCTTCCCTGACCCCACACCTCTCCCCAGCCACTACCCTTCTGCTCTTCCCTTCTTCATAGCCAAGTCCATTGAAAAACATGTCATTGTCACTGTATTTAGTCCGTCAAATTGGTCAGAAAATGTATGGAGAGAATGTGCCTGTATTAACAGCTGACTGTCTAACTGACTGATACCCTGGCCTGACCAGCTGATCCAGCAACTGGCTGAGTAGATGGAAGTCAAGGCAGATGGAGAGAGTGGATGTGCTGGATGACTTTGTGAGTGACAAGTGGATACTGGATTAATTACCTTATTTATTTCAATGAAGAAACCAAAGCTTGATTTATTCTCTTTGGGAATAAAGGGATCTGTGGCCCTCAAGTATCTGATATATGGAAATATTTCTGAGAGTGCTTGCAAAGATATAAAGTGGAAAAGTTCATTTCTCTAATAGAAGACGACTTGTTTGAAGCCTTCTGGGTTTCAGGACTAATTGTGAGCATGACACTTTGCTCATTTCTGTCTTCTCTGGTTTCTCTCACTTCTGAATCACCATGACGTCACTGGACTTACCTAGGGGAGAATGTCCTTCATGTCCGGGATGCTGATACCCAAGACAAAATATTGCAAGCATTGCACCTTCAGTTTGGTAAACAGTACCCTTGGTGAGTGTATACTTTTAAAGTGATTTAAAAGGGGAGCTGCCTTAGGCACTATTTTCAAACTGTTTAGTCATCCTAACAGCATTCTCATTCTGCATTCTTAGGGGTCCCTGTCTGCTGGTGAGATAGGGCTTGTTAATACCCGCTATGACTCTACCAAGGGTTCCAGTGGAGAATAATTTATTTGTCTTAATTAATGTAGCACTTCTACCAGGAAATATTGCTTTAGCCTATTTTGAATTTCTGTAAGTATTAGAAAATAATGTAACTGATTTTCTTTAAAAATAGTACATTTCAGCATTTTAATTTAGACTATCCTTTCTGTTTCAAGTTAAAGACATTTTCATTTACTTGAACCTTTTTTTCTGAAAATAACTTTTTCCCCATAAAAGTAAAGATAAAAAGCAAAAAAAAATAGTTTTTTTTTTTTGTTTTTTTTTTTACTATTCCAAACTATGATGTATTGGCTTAAAAGAGATAATTTTCCTTTGATCTTATTGGCATTTTTGTTAGTGATATCTCAGGCTGGAAATAGTTGTATTTCAATCAACAGTGGTTTTAGATATTCCATTGATAATATGAAGGTATTTAATTAAGTGTTGCTGAAGAGATCCAGGTGTTGTTTTATATTTTAAAGGGAAAAAGCCCAAACTGTTAATTACCTGAAGTTTCAGATTCCAATAATACTATGCTTTCCATATAATTTAATATGTGCAAGAGAAACATTTAATTTAGTTGACTTTTTGGACACATTGCAGTTCAAAGATATATGGGGATGGAAATGCTGTTCCAAGGATTTTGAAGTTTCTCAAATCTATTGATCTTCAAGAGCCACTACAAAAGAAATTTTGTTTTCCTCCTGTGAAGGATAACATCTCTCAAGATATTGACCATATTCTTGAAACTCTAAGTGCCTTGGCTGTTGATCTTGGCGGGACGAACCTCCGAGTTGCAATAGTCAGCATGAAGGTAAAATAACACCTAAGGTTATAACTTTATATCCCACATGAGTAGTTGATTTTCTTAAAGTATGGTTGGAAGGTAGGACTATAAACATACACAAGAGCTTGTAATCATTTGCCAATAGTATTGACTTAAAGGTCCATCACAATGCTTGTCTTACTATTTTACTAATCACTAACATTTTGAAGAGGTAAATTCTCAAGGAATTCAAGTTTGTAGATTTGAGTCGACAATGGGAGACCCATTAGACACCAGAGAGGGCATCTACCATGCAGGGGACCTGAAATGCTATACTCAGTAACAGCATGGAGCATGTTGATTGCTCTCTCTGCCCTGGGGAGGGTATCTTCAGATGGTGAGGGGAATTGCTTCTCATCTGGATCATGATTTTAGTTGAATTCAGCATACCTTCAATCTCTTAAGCAAACCAGCACCATAACTTTGACAGAGCCTTTATAAAACACCAAAACATCCGTGTGAAAATAATCTTTGATGATGTAACAAGGAAGAATAAAATTATCAGAAAAATCTTTGAAACGTTATAGGTGTATGAAGTTTCAGGAGTCCATGAGAAATATAAAGGACTTTAAACACAAAGTTGTTTAGATCAATTTAAAAAAAGCAAAACAAAACATGATTTTATCTAGTGAAGCCAAAGGGCCTCCTTCATAAATTTTTTTTTTTTTTTTTGGGCCACACTGCATGGCTTGTGGGATCTCGTTCCCTGACTAGGAATTGAACTCAGGACCTTGGCAGTAAAAGTGTGGAATCCTAATCACTGAACCGCCAGGGAATCCCCTGTAAAAGTATTAATAGGGAACTTCCTTGGTGATTCCTTCCAAGAATCTGCCTGTCAATGCAGGGGACATGGGTTCAGTCCCTGCTCGAGGAAGATTCCACATGCCTTAGGAGCGGCTAAGCCTGTGCGCCCCAACGGCTGAGCCCAAGTGCCCCAGCAACAAAGACCCAGAGCAGCCAAAAACTAGATAAATAAATAAATTTTAAAAATATTACTAGAAAAACATTTTCTTAACATATGATGATGATGATGATGTGAAGTTGCTCAGTCGTGTCCAACTCTTTGCGACCCCATGGACTGTAGCCTACCAGCCTCCTCCCATCTATGGGCTTTTCCAGGCAGGAGTACTGGAGTGGGTTGCCATTTCCTTCTCCAGGGTTCTTAACGTATATTCCATATCAATGACCAACACCCTCAATGGTGGCAGGTCTAAAGATGCTCTTATTAAAATCAAGTGGAAAAGAAGGATATTTTCTGCAACATTATTTAACATAATTCTCAGAGTTAGGAAGGGAGTAAAGCAAGGAATGAATAGCAAAAATGGCAGTTGTGCACAGGATTAAAAAAAAAAACTTATAGATAATATGAATAAACCAACAAGCTTGTAAAATAACACAGTTGAGTAAAATCATTAGATATTATGATAAATATGTAAGTATCAGTAACTTATATGAAATTGCAGATAAAGATTTGAGTTTTTCTGTAGGTGATTATTTATCAACTCTGATTGCACATTATTAGTGTTACATGGAAGCTTTAAAAAATTCTATGGATGCCTGGCCCCCACACCAGACTAGTTAGATGCCAGTCTCTGGGGGTAGGGACCAGGCATCAATATTTGTTCAAAGCTGTCCAGGTGATTCTGATGCACAGTGAAGGTCAAGAAGCACAACGAGGTTTTATTTTTAGTGACAATCATTAGTGACAGTTTTAACCCTTGTAAATGGATAAAAAGCCATTAATGAGCTTCTCTGGTTGCTCAGTGGATAAGAATCTGCCTGCCAGTGCCGGAGACATGGGTTTGATTCCTGATCCGGGAAGATCCCACATGCCAGAGCAGCTACGCCTGTGCGGCACAACTACTGAGACTGTGCTCTGAGCCCGGGCGCTGCGGCTGCCGGAGCCCCGCAGTGCTGTGAGCCCGGGCGCTGCGGCTGCCAGAGCCCCTCAGTGCTCAGAGCCCGGGCGGGAGCCCCGCAGTGCTGTGAGCCCGGGCGCTGCGGCTGCCGGAGCCCTGCAGTGCTCAGAGCCCGGGCGCTGCGGCTGTCGGAGCCCTGCAGTGCTATAGAGCCCATGTTCCGCAACAAGCCACCGCAGTGAGAGGCCCACACACGGCAACTAGAGAGGAGCCCACACAGCCGTGAAGACCCAGCACAGCCAGAAATAAATGCATTTTTTAAAAAAGTCATTCGTAATAGAAGAATGGAAAAAGAGACATATTTAGAACAACATAACTTCTAAGAAAAATCTAAACCAGAAAACTATGTGACCTATATAAAGAACATCTAAAAACTATAAAATAGAAAGCCTTGAGAAATCTCCTGGATGGGAGTGCTGAGGATTTTTTAAATGCCAGGAGTTTCCAAATTGAGTTTAACATAAGTTTAGTCAACATTTCAGTGAGGCTTTTTAAAGTTTAACAACATTATTCTGAAATTTACTTAGAATACACAAGTGGGAAGAGCACAGAAAAAAAATTTAAAAACAAGAATAGTTAGGAGGGACTGTCACCAAGCACAGTAATTTAATAAACATCATGGTTTGATACCATTATTGGCTTCAGTTATAGGAGATGATTAAAGTTTACTTAGCATTTTTATTGAGTTGCTTCAGTATTTAAACAAGGGAATTTTATCAGCCTGAAAGAGTAAAATATGATCTTTTAGTGAAGATTCAGATTAGCCGGAAGAGAGGGCCCACCTGGCTGGCTGTGGAGCTGTCGCTGCTTCAGTGGCTTCCTCTAAACTAGCTGGGTGTGACCAAGGGCTGGCCCAGGCCAGCAGGGGCTCTTCCCAAGCAGCCGTCTGAGTCTGCAGTGCTGTGCTAGAGCAGTGTCCGAGTTATCAGGAGAAAGGTCAGAGGTTCACTGTATACTCCTCAGCTAAGACCAGTGAGACAGGTCCGGTTTTTCTCTTTCAGGGTGAAATAGTTAAGAAGTATACTCAGTTCAATCCTAAGACGTATGAAGAGAGGATTAATTTAATCCTACAGATGTGTGTAGAAGCCGCAGCAGAAGCTGTAAAACTGAACTGCAGAATTTTGGGAGTAGGTGAGACTGTGAATTACATATCCAAGCATGTTCACTCCCATATACAAAGTTTGCCAAGTTCTGATGCATGACGCGGAACATCAGGTCACCGTCGTGTGTGTAGACGGCTCCAGTCCTGCCTGTGGGCCCTCAGCAAACTTTGTGAAAAGCATTGATGGAACTGTCAGTCTATGGGGAGGCACCGGTTTAGCCTTACATTACCTTGCAGTCCTTGGTAACGTTTGTTTTAGGAGATCTTGGGTGAATAACTTGTGTTCTAAGCCCAGAAAGCCAGCATAGTCTTCTGAGATTGCTCAACAGAATTATTTTCCTTGTGTTTGTTGGGGAGCTCAGGCATTTCCACAGGTGGCCGTGTAAATCCCCGGGAAGGAATTGTGCTGCATTCAACCAAACTGATTCAAGAGTGGAACTCTGTGGACCTCAGAAGCCCCCTGTCTGACACTTTGCATCTCCCTGTGTGGGTGGACAATGATGGCAACTGTGCTGCCCTGGCAGAAAGGAAGTTTGGCCAAGGAAAAGGCCTTGAAAACTTTGTGACGCTCATCACAGGCACAGGTGAGGGGTAGAGACGGCGCTTCGGATCTTGGGCATGTGTTGGGCACCTTCACCACTCAGGCAGTTTCCACCTTCCCTTCCTGCTCGAGTAAAGCCTGCAGGTGAGAGCTGAGGATGCCCAGGGCTTTTCTGGGCATGTGCCCAGCCCTGGGCATGAATGTGACTTTCTAAATGGCCAGGAATCGTCAGAGCTCTTCAAAGCCCTTATTCCCCAGAGCTTCTCATTGCTGGTTCCCCAGCTTTTCTTCCCACTCTCTTTGGTTAGGATATGGTTTGTCACAACTACCATCCATTGCCCCAAGCAGCAGAAACTAATAAGTGTATCTTGCCTTTAAGTGTCTTTGACCAGTGCCCCCGGGTGGCCCCTCAGCCCTGGGAGAGTTGGGGGGAGGCTGAGATGAAGACCAGCCCTTTGAGCTAGTCCTCCGGGAGCCACCACGCAGGTCTAAACAAACCACCACAGTGTTTTGAGACTAGTTCGTTCTCCTCCCTCCAGCATTGCCATCCGTACTGGGAATGTAGTCTGTTACTCATGGCCTTTGCCAAGCTGGGAGGTGAAGGGTGGGGTGATGGGACCAGGAAATGCCAGAAATCTCTAAGATTCAGCTGTTTTCTCTCAATTGCCCTGTTTGCTGTAAATGTTTGGTTAGTTTCCAGAGTTCCAAAAATTGATTCTGACAGTTTTTACTAGCTTATCATTGCTTTAGTGGAGGGGTGGACTTTTGGAGTTCCTGTTTGGTCACTTCTGCTGATATTCCAATTCGTTTTTTAAACGAGGAAATGGATTCAGCCGGTCAGTGTTGGCGGCGACACTTGGTCTCGCGCGTTTCTCACTGCAAACCCTGTGTGCTGTTCACCTCCACGTCAGACGCTCTCCCTAAACGGGTCATGCCCGTAGTCTCAGATGCGGTGTTAACAGCTTGGATATCATTTCCCAGTTCAGAGGAGCACGTGCTTAGTCGCTTCAGTCGTGTCCGACTCTGCGACCCTGTGGACCATGGCCTGCCAGGCTCCTCTGTCCCTGGGATTCTCCAGGCGAGAACACTGGAGTAGGTTGCCATTTTTCTCCAGTGATACCCTGCATAGAGGAGTGTGGCTTGAGGAGTAGGTGCCACAGGAAGTAAGAGGGGGCAGCTCTAAAATGCAGCACCCGTTCAGGCAGAAGGCCCTTTCTAACTCCTCAGCTCCATGACAAAAAAAATACACTGATATTCATAATTGTTGAATCATACATTTTTAGACAAGGTGGCATTAAGAAGAGCCAAAACTATTTAATATTCTGTTTAAGAAAGCAGGTGTTTAAAAAAAAAAAAAGCAGGTGGTGTATGAAACCTTTCAAAAAGATTATCTTATCTCGGATTTCCCCCAAAGCAGAGCCTGAGGCAAGGAGTTTGGTGTGGGTGTTTTATTTTGGAGGTGACTCTGAGACACAGGAATGAGGCGGTGGGAAGGGTGGAGCAGAGCAGGAGACCCGTTAGAAGATGCAGTATCAGAGCTACCTTGGAAGCCTGCCTGTGAGCAATGTGCTTCCGCGGCTGCTAGGCTCTTACCTGAGTGCTAGAGAAGACCTGGGTGAGAACCAAGTTGAAATCACAGTGATTCCAAGCAGATGCAACACAGGGCATCCGAGGATCAGCTAAACATTTCCATCCAAAAGATTCCAGGTGGAGTTTTGGTGCCTGGTAAAGTTTTGGCTGTTTCAGGAAGCAGGCACCACACAGGACCTCACGTTCTGAAGCCTGGTAAACAGGAGGCAGCGCGCAGCTTTCTGTTTCGGGCGCAGAGCCGCTTCAGTGATCATCGTCTCTCACTGCAGGAATTGGCGGGGGGATCATCCATCAGCACGAACTGATCCACGGCAGCTCCTTCTGTGCTGCAGAGCTTGGCCACATCGTGGTGTCCCTGGACGGGCCTGACTGTTGCTGTGGAAGCCATGGCTGTATCGAAGCGTATGCCTCTGGAATGGCCTTGCAGAGGGAAGCAAAAAAGCTACATGATGGTGGGTTTCTTTCACCTGAGGGATAAATAGCCAAGTGGTAGATATTTTCGAAGTAGATACTCCAAAAAGAGCTGAATGCTGGAAGCCAGAACTTGCAAGCTTTTCACCCTCTGGAGGAGAATCAGGACTCCGCATCCTGAAGCTCTGAGCATCCCTGGTCTGACCCCTGTTAACACTTTTCCTCTCCAGCAGTGGGCAGGGACTAGGGTCTTGAGCTCCAGGAGAGCAGGGGAGATTGCTTTCATTTTTGTCTTCTCAACCCCTAGCACAGGTTGGATATCTTAATACAGATTTAATGGAGAAGTAAATGGATAAACATACATAATTTTTCAAGTCTGAGAGGTCTTTTGAATTATAGCTGTTTCTGGACATGTTATAAAAATCAGGATGGTTTCCAGCCTAATGTAAGAGGGAATCATTTAATGTCATTACAATATGGTGTGTCAAGGGCACTGATGATGATGGCCAGGGAGCATAGACGCATAAAGGAGGCACACCAGTGTCCCCCCCAGTGCTCTCCATATAGGGAAGGGAGCCTTAGGCTGTCTAGTTGAAAGTCAGAGGGTAAATAGAATTACTGAGGCAAGTTTGGATGAGCCAGGCAGCACTTCCAAGCATAGGAAACAGAGGTGTTGGTGCATAACTGGCAAGGCAGGGTATAGTGTAGCCAGAGGTTTGCCAGGACCAGCAGCTAATTGGAGAAGCCACTAAAAAATTAGGGAAAAGACAGATCTGAATTTTAGGTTGTTCATCAAACTTCTGTTTTCTAGGAAGACAGTGATAGTTGAATGGAGGATGGCTTTCAGGGGGACAGTGTTGTGTGTGACTTGCAGTTTTCTGGTTGGGTAACTGTGGTTGGGAACATAAGAGAAGGAACAGTCTGGCAGAAGATGATGATTGGGAACCAGTGGGGTGTGTAGGAGCAATGCGCAGAAGGCAGCTGGCCACAGGGATCTGATGCTCAGGAGAGGTGATGGGGCTGGACTTGGAATCCTTGGCATTGAGGTGGTTCTTAAGCCTGTAAGTGAGACCTGGAGTGAGATGAACTGAGGGTGGAATCCAGTGAAACATCAGTACTTGTAGGCAGCGAGGAAAACCAGGAAAGGGTAAAGCCACAGGAACCAGAAGGGAGAGAGTGGCGGGCGGTATCAGTGCTGAGTGCAAGGAGACCGGAAAGCTCACTGGTTTGACCCTGAGGGGGGCACCATTTGGAGCCCTGAAAACTGTCGATTTTCCACCTCATTTTTACCACCACCCCCGCTAAGAAGTCTAAATGCTTAGACACTTTTTCCTGATCATTCCACCCCATGAAACTTGAATACCACAGATAAGTTGTTTATGTACTCTCTGTATAAAAAGAAAATTTTTTTGCCCCCGAGAATCAGTTTTTGCCCTCATGGGGATAAATGCTTATCTTAAAGAAGTTTGGTCAGGTAGTGGGAGCAGAAAACGGACTACCCTGAGAAGGGAAGGATGCCTCGAGGGTGAGGAATCTGGGTGCTCGCAAGGGTGGAAAGGAGGCAGCGAGGGCGCAGGGAGACAGCGAGGGCGGGAAGGAGACAGCAGGGCGCAGGGAGACAGCGAGGGCGGGAAGGAGACAGCGAGGGCGCAGGGAGACAGCGAGGGCGGGAAGGAGACAGCGAGGGCGCAGGGAGACAGCGAGGGCGGGAAGGAGACAGCGAGGGCGGGAAGGAGACAGCGAGGGCGGGAAGGAGACAGCGAGGGCGCAGGGGGACAGCGGGAGCAGAAGCGAGCGTTGAGAACACAGGAGAGGGTCGGTGGGGGAGCCCTTACAAGGCCCCTGGGGAGCCAGGGGGCAGTGAGCTGCGAAGCCCGAGTGCAGGGTGCGAGGAGAGGAGCCAGGGTGTGAGAGCACAGCCCTGTTCATAGGCAGGGGCAGGAGCGTGAGGGAGCGCCTGCCCGGAGGTGTCCTCTGTCTAAGGTCAGAGGTTCGGATAGTGGGGGCAGGGATGGACAGTCTGAGGAGATGAAGGCTGAGAAGGGCTACGAAGGGGAATGGCAGGGTGGGCAGGGCGGCTGTGAGGGCCCCTGAGGATAGGAAGCCCCCAGCTTTTGTCTAGGTAACCGTCTGCTTGGTGGGGACTTTCTCCCGTCAGAGACGGAGCAACAGCCGATGAGGAGGGAGAGTGATCTAGTTGGTGACCTGGCAGCGTCGGGGTAGATAACAGCGGAGATACATACATTCATCGAGCATTTCCTCTGGCCAGCGGCTGGAATCCTGCGGGGGTAGGCACCGTCCCCCTAGTCTTGGAAGAGAAGCGTGTGGAGGTGACGCATGTGGGCAAGGTGGCGCAGCCGGCGCCGGCGGAGCTGACGGCCGAACCCAGGCCCGTCAGCTTCTGAGGCGCTGGGCCTTCCTGCCGCCGTGGGGCAGTGGCCGCAGCCTTGCCTCTCAGCTAGACAAGGAAGGAGATGAATGCAGAGGAGTTCTGGTAATTTGGAGGGAAAAACACTTCACGACTGTTTAATACAGAATGGAGAAGCGGGGAGGATTTTCTAGTTAGAGAAGTTTTGGATGATGTATAACCAGGCAGCAAAGGCCTCTTTGGCAGATGTAGTGTATTTATGATGATTGCAAAGCTCTGCAAGTGTGAAAGAAGATCATCCTCTTCCCACTTGGGGGCCTGCTGCCCACAGACACAGTTGTGAGTGTGGCCTTCCCGCGGGGCTGCCGCAGCTCGTGAATCACTACCGCTCCTTCTCCCCTCTGCCCAAACAGAAGACCAGCTCCTGGTGGAAGGGATGTCCGTGCCAAAAGACGAGGCTGTGGGCGCACTCCATCTCATCCAGGCTGCAAAACTCGGCAACGCGAAGGCCCAGAGCATCTTAAGAACAGGTGAGCACACGGCCCTGGGCAGCTCTGCATGGGGGGGGCCTGGAGCACCTGCAGGTGCCCAGCTGGCCTCAGTCAGTGCTCTGTCGTGTCTGTCCAGAGGTGATTTTTCTGCTTACTGAGACAACAAGGAATCACATTCAAGGTATTTGGTAGCGTTGCCTTTTTATTTTTTAATTGGAGTATAAATGCTTTATATGTTGCATTATCTCCTGCTGTACAACGGTGTAAATCTGCTCTAAGTGTGTATGTATATATGTATCTCCCCTCCCTCCCACTTCCCCCATCCTTCTCCTCTAGGTCATCACAGAGCAGCGAGCTCCACCAGCTGTCTCTTTCACACTTGGTGGTGTATACGTGTCAATGCGTCCCACTTCTCCCCTCCCCCACCCCTCGTGTCCACAGATCCAGTCTCTGTGTCTGCACTTCTATTCTTGCCCTGCAAGCAGGTTCATCAGTACCATTTTTCTAGATTCCATATGTATGTGTTAATCTATGATATTTTTCTCTTTCTGACCTCACTCTGTATGACAGACTCTAGGTTCACCCACATCACTACAACTGGCTCAATTTTGTTCCTTTCTATGGCTGAGTAATATTCCGCTGTATTTATGTACCGCAGTGCCTTTATCCATTCATCCGCTGACGGACGTCTAGGTTGCTTCCCTGTCCTGGCTGTTGTAAACAGTGCTGTAATGAACATTGGGGTACATGGGTCTTTTCAATTATGGTTTTCTCAGGGTACATGCCCAGGAGTGGGATTACTGGGTCACGTGGTAGTTTTATCTTCAGTTTTTTAAGGAACTTCTACTGTTCTCCATATTTAGTTTTTGAAGACCTTCCTTACTATTCTCTGTAGTGGTTGTATCAGTTTATATTCCCACCAATAGTGCAAGATTTCCTTTTTTCCACACCCTCTCCAGTATTTACTGTTTGTAGACTTTCTGATACTGGCCATTCTGACTGGTGTGAGGTGATGCCTCACTGTGGCTCTGATGTGCACTCTGCAGCGATGAGCGATGTTGGGCACTGTCTCGTGTGCTCACTGCCGTCTGCGTGTCGTCTGGGCTCAGCAGCACAGGCTCAGCAGCTGTGGCACGTGGGATTTTCTCAGATCAGGGATCGAACTTGTGTCCCCTGCACCAGCAGGCAGATTCTTAACCACTAGATCACCAGCAAAGTCCATAAACAGCTGTAAAAGCGCTGCTTCCCATGAGGCCGTGTAGGTGAACTATTCCTGGCTAGTGCCCTTTTCACATTCCTCTGACTTTGGATTGGGCTCTCTCCCAAAAACTTATTTTAATTTTTGTTTTCCTGTAGCTGGAACAGCTTTAGGTCTTGGGGTTGTGAACATCCTCCACACTATGAATCCTTCCCTTGTGATCCTCTCTGGAGTCCTAGCCAGTCACTACATCCACACTGTCAAAGACGTCATCCGCCAGCAAGCCTTGTCCTCGGTTCAGGACGTGGACGTGGTGGTTTCAGATTTGGTGGAACCTGCTCTGCTCGGCGCCGCCAGCATGGTTCTGGACTACACGACTCGCAGAATCTACTAGGCCTCCCAGGAATGCACGAGGACAGAGACGCAAGAACTCCTTGGTGGAATCAGGTTGTCTCCTAGATGAGCACTTCTTATTAGGCAATCTGGCAGGTGACTACGGCAGAGAAGTGTTTGCTTTTAGTCTCCTCCTCCAAAGTCACTTTTCCCAGCCTGATTTTGTAGATGCTGCTCCTCCTGGGGTTATTTCAGCTCAAACCTTGTCACACTCTTCTGTGCCAAAAGGAGCTACAACAGTAGCCAAGGATGCCTTAGGACTCCGTTTACTAGATGTGCCACTCAGACCTGCAGGCCTTGCTTGGGGTGGGACCTTGACACTGGAGTTTTGAGTTATTAATCCTTCCTCCTCTGACCCTAAATTCAGAACCCAGAAAGGGATCCAGTCAGGGAATGGAAAGAAATCTCACCACAAAAGGCTTAAGTAAACTCTTAAAAAGCAGTTTTATTGAGGTATTTTTTTAAGTGCACAATTTGGTAAGTTTTGACATCTATATGAAATCACGGCCACAATCAAGATATCAGGCGTATCTCTCACTGTCGCACGTCACTTGCTGAAAGATGTTGTTTGCTACGTCACTTGCTGAAAGATGTCGTTTGCTATTACTCTCTCAGAATCTTGAGCAACTGTAGATCGGGGTCTGAATTACAGTGGCCTTAGGGACCTTGTCCTTATCTTCTTAAGGACCGCTGAGAAGCCACTAGGACTTAGCCTCTGAAAGGAGATTAACCATCCCAGAAGGATCTTTGTTACTGAGAACAGGCGTCTCTCTTCAGTAGCTTTTCACATGGTGTTGAATATGACTGGAGTACTGATAAAGGCAGTGTTTGTTGTGCGTCATATACCTAGAGCCCTGGAGGCTCAGACTTGTAGGTCTGCCTACAAGGCGGGAGACCTGGGTTCAATCCCTGGGTCAGGAAGATCTCCTGGAGAAGGAAATGGCAACCCACTCCAGTATTCTTCCCTGGAAAATCCCATGGACAGAGGAGCCTGGTAGGCTACAGTCCACGGGGTCGCAAAGAGTCAGACACGACTGAGCGACTTCACTTTTGCCCAGAGCCCACATGTGTGAATCTGGATTCTGGCTAAATACGATTCCACGTTTGTACTGGTGTCAAGATACAGAGGCCAAGGTTCTTGCTATCAATTTCAACCTGGAAGAAATACTAATAGCCACCACTTATTAAGTGCCTACTGTGTGCCAGGCTCTGAACTTGGTGCTTCATATACATTATTCTAAATTCTCACAACCACTAAGTTAGGTGTTTTAATTCCCATTTTATAGAACCCCAAACTAAGTCTTAAGTGGTGTGCCTAGAGCCACGTGGCTAATGAGTCTTAAAGATAAGGTTTGAGGCGGGTCCCTCTGTGCTTTTTCTGCTAAGCTACACAAGCTCTATTCATATCAAAATCTTCCAAAGTGCAAATATATTCTGATTTATTCCAGGCTACCGAAAGCTTTCACAGTATCTCAGTAGCAAATGAATTGCTTTATCCTTGACACTCTCTCTCAGTGGTGAATTTAATAAAATATTCTTGTATGCTGTGGAAATTTTGCCAATATAGTATTTCGTCTAGTGACAGGTTTTTATGGGTACTTTTAGACAATCTAAAAATTAGCATATGTTTTTAAGATTTATTATTTTAGGAAAACTTGAAGGTTTCTACAACATATTATTTCACTTGTCCACATATGAAGGAATCAAGATTATTGTATTTGAATTCCTTCCTTCCTGGTGGGTTAATGTGAAAATAGGTTGGCTGATTCCTAGAACTGTCAGCTCTGAAATAATCTCCAGGTCCTGGTTGACACATTCCACGTTGATTCCTGGGAAGGAAGCTTGGCTTGGCCACCAGTGTCTGGGGCCAGTCAGTGTACTGTGAAGGGGCACCCGTTGTTCCTTGGTGAAATCTGCAACCGCTGTCTATACCAGACATTGCTATCAAGTTTCATACCAAATATTCGGAAGAATGGTACTGACTCTATAAAACCAGATCTCAGTTTTTATTAAATTCATGGAAAAGCTAATATATTCCAACATAATTATTACAACTAGCTAAAGTGATCACATTTTAATTTATTTTAATGTAAATATTTTTATGTTACTGTTCTGAGCCAAATTCTAAAGAAAAAATAAATTATTTCCTTGTGGAAATCCTGACATTTTTCTATTTTGTTTTGTTCTTAATTAGCTCATTAGCTAAAAACATTTCCCTCCCTAAGAGATGTGTTATACTCCTTATAAGATTTGAAGGTCATATAACTTCTTTAAGGCATTTAATATTGACTTAACAATCTCCCCCCAAAAAACCTTGTTAATAGAAAGTATTGTTATATAACATAAAAAAATACATATATTGCAAAATGATCACTACACTGTTTAGCTAACATCATCACAATCCATAGTTAAAAGTTTTTTTCCTTGTGATGAGGACTTTTAAGATTGAATTTAGTAGCAACTTTCAAATATGCCTTATGGTGTTATCAACTAGTCGCCATACTGTATATTACATCCCTGTAACTTATTTTGTAACTGGAAGTTTGTACCTTTTAATCCTCTACACCCACTCCCCACCTCCCAACCCTGTCTGTGGCAACCACCAATTTGTTCTTTGTGAGCTGGGTTCTTTTTAGATTCCACGTAGCACTTAGATCATACGGTATTTGTCTTTCTTGGTCTGATGTTTTACTTATTTAGTATAATGCCCTCAAGGTCTATCCATGTTTCACAAATGGGAAGATTTCTTCTTTTTAATGGCTGAATACTATTCTGGTCATATATATTTACACCACATTTTATCCACTCATTTGTTGATGGACACTTAGGTTGTTCCCATTACCTTCACTATGTAAGACTGCATATACCTCTTAGAGTTAAGTGCTTCTGTTTTCTTTAGATAAATACCCAGAATCAGAACTGCTGGATCATATGGGAGTCCACTTTCAATTTTTTGAGGACCCTCCCATACTGTTTTCCATAGTGGCTGCACCGGTTTACATTCTCACCAACAGTGCACAGGGCTCCCTTTCTCCTCCTCTCCAACACCTGTTACTTCTTGTCTTTTTGACACAGCCATCCTAAGAAATGTGAGGTGGTATCTCACTGTGGTTTTCATTTTCATGATTAGTGATATTGAGCACCTTTTTCATTTACCCATTGGCCAGCTGTATCTCTCTTCTTTGGATAAATGTCTATTCAAATCCTCTGCTCATTTTTTTAAATTGTTTTTATGCTATTGAGTGTATTTTGGGATATGAACCCCTTACTGTATATATGATTTGTAAATATTGTCACCCTTTCAGTAAGTTGTCTTTTTGTTGATAGTTTTCATTTTGCCGTGCAGAAGCTTTTTTGTTTGATGTAGTCCTGCTAACTGACCATATACGTATGAGTTTATTTCTGGACTCTTTATTCTGTTTCATTGATCCATGTGTCTGTTTTTATGCCAATTATTGTTTTCATTACTATAGCTTTGTAATATGATTTGAAATCAGGGAGAGTGATGCTATCAGCTTTGTTCTTTCTCAAGATTGCTTTGGCTATTCAGGTCTTTTGTATTTCCATACAAATTTTAGGACCGTTTTATCCTTGTGAACAAAATGCCACTGGAATTTTGATAGGCTACATTGAACACATAAGATTGCTTTGGGTAGTACGGACATTTAAACAGTATTCTTCCAGTCCATGAGCATGAAGTCTGTTTAAATTTCTTTCACTGGTGTCTGATAGTTTTTAGTGTTGGTTATATTTATTCCTAGGTATTTTATTTTTTGATGCAGTTGTAAATGGGACTGTTTTAATTTCTGTTCCTGACAATTTATTAGTATACAGAAATGCAACAAATTTCTGTAATTGTTTTTATACCCTACAACTTAATTCATTTATTAGTTGTTATTAGTAACAGTTTTTTGGTGGAGTTTTTAGAGTTTTTTGTATATAAAGTCATGTCATCTGCAAATAGTGACAGTTTTATTTCTTCCTTTCCAGTGTGGGTGTTTTTTATTTTTTCTTGCTCAAGTGCAGAAACTAAACGCTGAGCACTCACTGAGTTCTTGGACCAACTCCTTCCTTTTCATGAAGCCCCATGTGGGTAATGTAGGCATTAGAGACCATTCAAAGTTACCACTGCTGTGTAACAAACCACCTCAAAACTTAAGAGGCTTCAACAGTCATCATTTTCTCTCATGGTTTCTGTGGGTCAGGAATTCTGGAAAGGCTCTACCTGGCAATTCTGACTCAGGGCATCTGATGCGCTTGCAGTTAGGCAGTGGCTGGGGCTGGAATAGGGCTGGCCACGTGTCTCTCTTTGCTTGCTGTTTCAGGGTCTCTCCACGTAGGCTGGTTTGGGCTTCCTCATAGCATGGTGGCCTCAGGGTGGTAAAGATTTTTACATGGCAGCTCAAGGGCTATCAGCTTGTTTGTTCCAACAAACCAGCCGTAAACTGTGTCGCCCTTTACAACCTAGCCTTGGAAACATTACTTCTGTCATATGATGCAGTCACCCTTAATTTGGAGAAAGTCAGACTTTACTGACATAACTGCCGTATCTACCTTCAAGACACCCATCCTATGTGAGATGCAAAACCAAGCCAGATGACACCATCAAGACATTATCAAAAGGTAAGCTGTCCCACGTAGAGGGTCATGGGAGCTCAGGGGAAAGGAAAAGCATCACGTAAGTGGCCTTTGAGCTAGTTCTTAAGCCCGATTATGATCTCTTCAATGACATTAGCAAGGCCTAGAAGCAACAAATGGTTGGCGAACAGCAGCAAGCAGCTGCTCGACTGCAATCTCAGGTGGCTGAAGGGAAGAGCAATAAGACCAGAAATGCAGCCCAGACCAAGGAACGCCCAACTAAGCAGCTTGGTGAGGGGAAGACAGGCAAACAAGTAAGCATTCCTGTCCCTTTCAGACATAATTACCATAGAAGAGACAGTGGACTTTCCTTCCTGGCAATGGCAAGACCTAACCCTGCTCACCCACCTCCTGAGTGTGGCATTACAGGTGTTTACATCAGTCTGCATCCTGGAACTAGTATCAGGTAACTCTAGCAGGCTTCTGAAGTACGGCTTTATCAGTCACTCGATCCGTCACCTATAACGTGACAGGTTCTGAGACAAGGAGTCAATGCGTTGATGCCTGAGATGGAGTACAGTCTCCTACAGGTACCTGTTACGTGGATCAGTGTGGTCCAGAATGTTCTGTGATGATGTAAGTGTTCCATAGTCTGCCCTGTGCAATCCAAATGCATCCTAACTACATGTGGCCACAGCGCATATGAAAAGGAGCTTGGGCTAGAATTGTCTTTTTAATTCTGACTGATTTAAATAGCCACTGTAGCTACTGTACTGGCCAGCAAGGTCTGGATGAAGGATCTGACAACAGGAATATGAGCAAAGTGCCAGGGATGGCACAGACCTCCGTGTATGCTGCAGGGATGCAGAGAAATAGGGCCAGGCATGCTCATGCCATCCTGACTCAGGTCTACGGGCTGAATCCAAAGCAGCAAGTGTCTCACTGGTTTCCGTCGCCCCGGGAGCACCCTGCGGAAACACACTACCCAGGCTCCCATAGTCAGGGGTAGCGACTGACAGGAGCCACCGGGGAGGAAACGTCCAGGGTGGTGACGGGGTCCACAGCTCTGTCTTCAGTGGGCAGTGAGAGGCTCACTCTTAGCCAACCAGCTCCCCTTTCAAATGGAAACGTCCACAGACTCCTACTACAGACAGTGGAAACTCAGAGCTGTTTCAGTTCAAGGCAGGGCGGGCACCCAGTGGCTGTGCCTCCACAGCCCCAGAAAGGATGAAGGGAATCCCTCACTGACCTCACTCCCAACTGCAGCACACCCTGAGATCAATAATGAAACTTCATGTTGATTTCTTGGAACAGAAATTTATTCTCAGAATAATGCACAAAAGCATAGGTTGAGGCTGCTGTTGGGAGGCCTCCCTCCCTCCCTCTGCCGCCACCTCCCCTCCTCCTTGACTGCCAGGGAGAACACAGTTGAAGGAAACATGCAATCACAAACAATGATCAACTCTAAAGACAAAAGGTTTGGTCCAAAAAAAACTCAACATAATTAATCCAGTTACCGTGAAGAGCTTCACTGAGTAGGATTAAGATGCTGCAGATGTAGTGTCTCCGCAGGGAGGCTCTTCAGTGCACCAGGGGGGCCTGCTTGAGGGAGATGAGGACAGAACGCATGCGGGAGACATCTTTGGCCTGCTTGCTGGACTTGGGGTTAAAGTCACACAGCCGGGCCACCCGTTCCCACTCAGTGCCTGGGGACGACTCCTCAATGTCATTTACAAAGGCTTCTTCTGCTGCCCTGGAAGCAACAACAAAAGAGGCTGATTGAACGCAGACTCCCCATGTGAGCTACCTAGTGGCTGCCTTGTTACGGAAACAACGGCCTCTGTATGCCTGACCTAAAAGCATTCTGATTTTCCAAAGACTAAGAGCCCTGGCCCAGGTCAAACTCAGGAGCAGACACATGGCCAGCTTTCCTAGGCACAGGGTGCCCGGACTGCTGTGTAAAATGTTGGAATACAGGTGTTTGGTTCAGGGTCTCTCCCTCTCTGTTGACACAGAGAATTAAGTCAAGTCCTTAACCAGCTACTCACTGCCTTCATTAGCAAAAGCAAAGCAGCAGGCTGGCCAAGAACTTGAACAGCGGTTTATGTTGGCCTGTACTGAATTTCAAGTAAATTTAGAGACTTCAAAAGAAGCCCACAGGTCACTCCGCACAATAGCCTCTGGATTTACTCCAAAGGCTGGAGAGAAACAGGGCAGATCAAGAAGGAATTCAAGACCAAGCGCCCATGCTAGCAGGCACTAGAGACTAAAGCCGTTCCAGGAGGGTTTGTTAGGACATTCTCCAGTTCAGCCAAAAGTTTTGCCGTTTTCCCTCCAGCCAGGTGCCGTGGGCCTCTCGGGACACTCTGGCAGGGGTGGGCACCCAGCGGCTGAGAGCCGCTCAGTGTGAGTTGCCTTTTGGTAGGATGCTCTTCCAACATTCGTTCACACCAAGGTCAGCCCATCCCCAGCTGGGAACTAACTGGTAGGAGCTACTGCCTAAAAGGACAGTGGTAAGAGGAGGGAAGACACACTATTTCATCTACTCCAACAGGCATCACGGGCAAAGCGAAAGCGATGGAGATGACTGGTCTGTGGGGACAGAGGGGTGGCACTCTCACAGGGATGGCCGTGGCAAACACCGCTGAAGCCCAGAGCCACTACAACACTTGACTTCATGGCACACACAGGGGCAGTGAGGAAGGTTTACTTAACTGTTCTAGGCTGTAGCAAGGATGGTTTATGTTTGTGCTTAAAGGTGAAGAGAAGAAAAACGAGAAAAACTTTAGGTCAGATACAGAAAATGAGAATGAGCTCAATGCAGATGGTCAGTAAGCTAGACACGCCCTTGCCACTCTGTACTCGGGACGTGCAGCTGGCTTTGCTGGGCCACCCCGCTGCCCAGCAAACCCAGACTCGACCTTTCTAGTCTCCATCTCTACTCCAGAGAGAATGTGCAAAGCAAACCCAACGCCACCTGTAAGTCCAGCATTTCACAAGTCTCACTGCAAACACACCCAGGGGCCCAGGAAACGCAGCTCTACCTTCTAACTGGCTGACACGCTCCAGGTCAAGGCCCTAAGAGGCTCTGCAGACCTCAGCCTGGGGGCTACCCTTCCCACAAGTTCTTCTCTTCCTCCATTCCACCCTCACCTCCCTCATGTCAAAAGCTAGTAGGCTAGTCCTAAAAGGAGGAAACACAATTGAGCAACACTGCTTTGGTAACAGGAATTCTTAAAAACAAACTCTCCCAGAGAAGATGCAGTTTTCTTTGGGGGTAACAGCCACCATGGCCTGTATCAGACAGCTTTGGCGATCTGGCTATCTTGCCCTCAAAGCTGGGGGTCTCTCTATGTCTCTCTATGTGGGGGACAAGGACATCAGAAGCTGGCAACTAAACAACTCTTTCTGATATGAGGCCACAGAGAAACAACTGCAGACCCTAGAGGAGACAGCCCCCTCTGCTCTGACTCTTCTGCCTGGACGGAGAGGCAGCCAACCCCATGTTCTTCAAAGGAAGCAAGTGTGGAAGATGCTGCCCACAGTGGCTCCTAACCCAGGACTTTCCCTTCCCCCTCCCGTTCCCACCTGGGGCAGGGCGGCAGCAACAAGGGGTCAGAGTCCCCAGTTCCCAGTCCCCAAACCTTCCCAGGTGAGATCACAAATGACCCACATTTTACAAGTGTTAGCTTCCTTCCCTTCAAAACCCCAAAATGAAAAATGGCAACCAGAGTTGCAGAGAGTTGTGATTCTGTGATAATGGAACATACCCCCAGCTTATCAACTCTTAGGCAGCCCCCACAGCGCCAATCTGAAATCATTTAAAAAGCAAAGCAACTTGTGACATAAAAGGAGCATTAACTCTAAACAAAAAGTAGGAATTAAAACAAGAAAAGGAATTAGTTTTGCAACATACACATAACCAATCACGTCAGCGAAGGGTTGTTTGTAGAAAGCTTCATCTGCCACCCTAGACAGCAAGAGGTCCAAAAGGCAGGCAAGCAGGCAGGAAAAAAGAGAGAACATTGAGAAGGAGAAACATCTCAAATCCACAGTAGAGGCACAAGTGCTCTGGGGAGCTGCTCCCAAGGCTCCATCCTAACCCAGCGAAGGTTCTAGCACTGAAACTCTGCAGGTAAGGCCCCCTGCTGGCCTTCCCCACCAGCTTCTCCAGACAGTGCTGTCAACTTCACCCCCAGGCCTTACCCAGCAACGCGAGCATCTCCTAAGTATCCTCTGAGGGGCTGAGCCCTCTGACAAGACGTTGTGTCCGTTCTGTCCTCAGCCCCAAACCACCTCGGGACACTGAGTGTTCCCCCGCCTTTCACAGCTGACGTGGTGGAAGGCAGGTCTGGCGATGAAGCAAACCTGTCCAGCAGGACG